TCCTGGTGGGTAAACCACAGGTTGGAAGTGCTAATGGTGCAGTCTCCTCCTACACAGAAGAGAAGCAGTACTTTGCTTATTCAAAACAGTATTTTTTTCTCTTGAGGAGAACAAACAGAAGATTGCTTAATGACTGACCACCATACATGGGCAGGGGACGGTCTTCAGAACTAGAAAGTCTTCAAAATTTTCCTCCATCTACAGGCATTGGATTTCCGATATTTCTGCTGCCAGAAATACAGGCTCTGGGAAGGGTCAGGGACCTGGCAACATGAATAATATTTCTTTGTCTCCCCGAGTAAAAACATAGTGGACAGCTGACTTAAATCTATGCTGCTGACTTGCTCTTTCCTTGGTCACACATCATGGTAAGGTAAGACATGGATCTTGCTTAGGAAGCCACAACAGGGAACACACCTTATTTACTTGAAAAACAGCCCATAACTTCTGCCATTCGAAATTGAAAACCAAGTGTTATCTGAGTAGATGGGTTTTGCTAGCATTATGGGGGGTTTTGGCAACCAATTTACAGCAGGCACCAAGATTGGCAAAGTGAATCTCTATCAAAGAGGACTAACTGATGGTTACAGATTCTGACTGCTGATACAGACAATGGTCCCTGATGATTCTTGGGTTAGTGCATGTGCTTGAGCCATTGCAGTCACAGAGGAAGAGGGTCTGAACTTGGCAGTGGGTATTTACCAAGAGACTGGATGGCAAGAATGTAAGAGCTGTGGAAGCTGGAGGACAGCACTGATGTTTCAGTAGGCAAGAATAGCACTGGCAACTGCCAGAGCAAAACACTTCTGAAGGGCATAGCCAGGAGAGCATTACCAGAAAGACCTGTCAAAACTGATAGAAAGACTAGTAGAAATCACAAGAGTGAGCAGGACCACACAAACGCAATTTCTGATGATGACTGAACACAGTCCTCCACACTGACCACCCCCAAATGGTGTTGGAGGACCACAAAGCCCAAGAGCTGAGGGGTCTCCACAGTGATAGGACCTGGACTTTTCTCCACTGGGAGAAACAGCTGCCAAACTGCAAGCTTTGTTTGTTGGTGGAAGCTGATCTAAGTGCTTTGTAACAAAATGCTGAAAATGTCTCTTCAGGAGCCCAGCAGACAAGAGTAGAGGAAAACTGGGGAAAAAAGAGATGCCTCCTATAGCACAGCTCTGCCCCATCTCTTCTGTCTGGTAGAGTCCTCACTACACAACATATTTTGCACATCTCAGGAGCGTACTCTCTCTATTTGCACCTTTTGAAGTCCTGCATAGTAACACAAAGGGGATGGCACAAGGAGGTTGTGGGGGACGAGAGAGCTGTGCTATGGAAGGAAGAGACCCTCATCAGTATTTTTCTCATCAGTATGTTGGGGAGGAAAGAAAAAGAGAATCCAAAACCCCAAACCCCACACTAAATTTGCACTTGTTCTCTCAGGCTGGCAGCCTAGAAGTTCATAAACTCAGAAGTGCCTTGTTCTGGAGTAAACTGTACTGAAAACAGTTTCTGATGGCTTCCCCGAGTTTGCTTTGCTGGTGGCAGCCCTTTGGCTCCATGCTGGCACACATATGAAGCTTTTTGAACAAGTTTTGACCTTCCTTTAGCCCCTCTGCCCATCAAGCCAGCTAATGACATGCTTCGTATTGCACAGAACACATACAATTGACAAGTTCATAGTGTTGTTTAAATATTAAACAGTCTAGACAGGCTTTAGAGTCTTGTGCCACTATGAAAAGGCCCAGACCACACCCATCTCTGAAATTGGGCTGCGGGATCATTTGCACAGTAAGACAGACAATAAGACTTGTATACATTGCCATGCAACAGAAGAGACCCCGAACCACCAGCCCTAAGTGGAAACTTTATTTCTAAGCACAATATATGGAAAAAACAAACCAACAAACCCCACAGTTATAGAAAACGTAGCAAATCCCTGGTCAAGTAGGACTTCATGTCTGTCACTACCCTGCACCTCACAGCCGCTTAAAATGTCATGCAATGGAGGAGAGGGCACTCGGATGACACCCTCGGCTGCAGATGGAGGAGAATCTCCAGGCAGGAGAGGGCTGGTGGGACTCCCGCTGAGTGGTTTGGACTGTAACCAGCAAAAGGGCAGCGCTGCTCACCCCACCACACACTTTGTGACTACCGGTGGTAGACTTAGCACTTCAACAGGCTTTACCAACGCGGATTCTCACAACTCCCCTGTGAGGTAGGTACGTATTGTTATTCCCCCTTTGCTTGGAGGGGGGGACTGAGCCAAACAGCCCAAGGCTACAGAGTCGGTGGCAGAGCTGGAGTGAGAGTATGCAGAGTCCTGTGTGCTCAGAGTACTAGATCACGCCACTCTTTCACAGCAAGTTGTGCTTCTGACCTCATCAACTTTTAGCAGTTAGCCAAATTAAAGGAATTTGACTTCTCCTTATTAAATGAGTGGAGGGCAGAGAGGGAAACAACATCATGTTTGACAGCTGTCCCTTTGTCTGTGTATGCTTCCCCCTTCCCAAAACCACCATAATTACTCATCTCTTGGAATGAGGACAGCTTCCAGGACAGGCATGGGGGCGAGAGGCTGCTGTGTTTGCTTGCTTTGGCCAGGTTTCTCTCTACTGTGGATCAGAAGCAGTTCTTCCAGAGACTGTTTGTTGCAACACTTTTTGTTCTGGGGGTAGCTGCTATTACAGATTATTAGAATTGCCCCTTTTCTCTCCCTCTGTCCATCAACATCTCTTCCCTCCTCTCTGCCGAAAGCACTCTTTGGTAGATAGTAGGATTGGTCAGATAAAGGTACAGTGGCCTCAGAAACCAGGCTGTTTCACATGGTTCCTCAGTAAGTCAGCTTTCCTGGCCAGTGTTTCACCTCCCACATTCTCTGCCAGAGAACTACCTGTTCTGTTGCATTCTGATATTCAAAGGGACACTGTCAAGTAATTGAGGTAAAAAATACAAGCTGCCTTAAGCAGCTAACCTTCATCTTCAACATTGCAGAATGGCCAGTGTTTTCAAACCTAGAGGCTGAAGTTTGACACCTTCTGTGGTCCAGAAACACCTGACCTATGACAGCCAAGCTGCCTAAGGAGTTTGTGGCTTGTGTTTGCCCTTGCTGTGAGAAGCAGAATAGAAGCTGTGATAGATGCTGGTACAGTGATGTAGGGCAGGTGGACATAGCCATTGTGCAAAGTTGCTCAGCACTGCTGCTAAATGCATGCAATTTGGCTGAAGCCCTTTTCTTAATTCTGGGGGGGAGCTGGGTTCAGGCTTGATTACTACAGGTCATTGTTTTGGGATTGCTGAGCTGTTGCTCCTCAGTTAGCTGATCTCCATATTTTTAGGGTTCCTGCTCTTAAAATGTTCCTTTGTGGCAGCTGCACTGGCAAAACAGCTCAACCCTGTAGAGCTGGGACATATCCTCCGTAGAGCAAGGACAGACAGCAGGAAATCAGTAACGTGGATTTTCTCCTGTCACAGAAGAAAGGTGGGGAGAAGAACAGGGTTGGTGAAAGGAATGGAGTGAGTGGAGGGAACAATATGTGCCCAAATGGAAAAGAACAAAATTGGTAG